TGGTATCTGGCCTTTGATCTTTAGCTTTTGAGTGGATTTACATTCGTGAGTGTTTCTTGTGCTGATCCATGTGTAACTCTGTTTTAAGTACTTCTTGGAGGGCTGGTCTTGTCTTGGTGAATTCCCTCAGTCTTTGCTTATCTGAGAATGTCTTTGTTTCTCCTTCGTATACAAAACTTAGTTTTGCAGGGTACAAGATTCTCAGCTGGGCACTATTCTGTTTCAGAAGAGTGACAATGGGGCCCCAGTCTCTTCTTGCTTGTAAGGTTTTGGTTAAGAAGTCTGGTGTTATTCAGTTAGGCTTTCCTTTGTATGTTACTTGTTTCTTTCACCTTACAGCTCGTAGAAGGGCCTCTTTGGTGGATATTTTGGTCAGTCTGATGACTGCATGTCATCGTATCTTCCTGTTTGCATTGAATCTCCCAGGGGTCCTTTGAGCTTCTTGTACCTGGATATCTAGATTTTTAGCAAGGCCTGGGAAATTTTCCTCTATTACATCTTCAAATAGCTTATCCAACCCTTGCATGTTTTCTTCTTCACCGTCAGGGATGCTCATAACTCTCATGTTAGGCTTCTTCACATAATCCCACATTTCTTGTAGGCTTTTCTCTTTTCTCTTGTTTCTCTGCTCTATCTCTGTGACTGGACTTTTTTAATTGGAAGGTGTCATCTTCAGTCTCTGAGATTCTTTCTTCTGTTTGATCTACCCTGTTCTTGAGGCTTTCCACTGTGTTTTGTAGTTCCTTGAATAAATTCTTCATTTCTAGTAGTTCAGTTTGATTTTTCTTTAATATTTCAATTTCTTTAGTGAATTTTTCTTCCAAGTCCTGGACTTTTTTGTAGTTTCTTTGTGTTGGTTATCTGTTTTTTTCTTGCATATCATTGAGTTTTCTTACAATCCATGTTCGATATTCTTCTGTCATTTTAGTGTTCTGAGTTTGGTTAATGTCCAATGCTAGAGAGCTGTTGTTTCTCTTTGGGGGTGTGATTTCCGTTTGATTCTTCATACTTCCAGAGTTCTTTCACTGGTTCCTTCTCATCTGGATCAGTTGTTTCTTCTTGCCTTTAGATTTTCGTTTGAATAATGACACACTCTGTTTAGTCTCTGAGCCAGTAGGTGGTGTTTGTGGGTAAAATTCTACCACACCCTTTATGATGAGTCAGTAGATATAGTAAAAGAGTGTGCAGAATGACCTCCCTGCCAGTAGGTGGCACTTTCTGGGAGGAGCGAGCTGCAGTGTTGTTTTTGGGTCCTGTAACCAGCTCTTGTTCCTCTGGAGAGGCCCTCTTGTGCCTCGGGTGGTGGGTGGGGCCCTGGGACTTCCAGGTGTGTCCTTATTCTCCACCTCAGTGGAGGCAGGTCTGGGAGTGAGTCTAGGGGGGCTGAGTTGGGTAAGCCTGCCCTCAAGCTCCACAAATGCTATTAGCAGGGGTCAAAGGTCTGTTCTCTGCTTCTGTGCAAAGCTGCCAGGGAGGGGCTGAAATGGCTCCACTCAGCTGAAAAGTCTGCATGTGAGGAGTGGGGCTGTCTGAGACCTGCACTCTGGAGCAGGTCTCACTCCTTTCCACCCTCCCCTATTCCGTGGCCTCTCCCAGGCCTCTGCCAGCAGGCAGGACCTCAGGCCAATGGATCTCCCCTGGCTGTGACGTGGGCCAGGAGGTTCCTTGCCCAGGATCGCAGCCTGAGCTGGGTGCACAGCCCTCTTTTGGGAGGAGGGTTGCCGCTCAGGCACACTGATCTGCCCCTGAAGGCACACATTCCTCAGTAGGCTCTTTCACAGATCTCCCTTCTGTGCCCCAGGGCAGTGCGATCGTGTCCTGGTGTACGGGGTCTGGTCTGCAGGCCTGTCCCCTGGGCCCTGGAAATCAATCTCTGACCCTGCCAGGGGGAGAGATGCTGGTCTCGAATCACCTACAGGGTGCCCAAGCTGGATCGATTTCACTCCACCTCGGGATTTGCCCCACTCTCCTGGAGTTCCCAGGCAAGCAGCACCTGGGAGGGCTGGAGGGTAGGGAGCTCACAGTCTGAGTACCCCTCAGTCTGCTGTAGGGCCCCAAAAGGAAAGGTCCTGTTCCTTGGAGATGCCTCTGTGTGATGGCTAAATTGTCTTTCTGGGCATGCACGGGTAGGGAGGGGGAAGGAGAGAATGGAGCACTATGGCGCCTGCCACTAGGCTCGGGTCTCCATGCGGGGAGGTGCCCCGAGGGAACTGGGAGCCTGGTGCCCTGTCCGCAAGAGGCCACCGCTCACTGGCAGCAGCTGTCTCTGGGCTGGTGTCGGCAGGTCTCTCCAGCCACTCAGGAGCCACCCGCAGTCCGAGATGCAAGAGAGGGGGAAGTTACCTGCTCCACCAGCCTTGTCGCTGGTCTCCAAGCCTCTCGGGGGCCTTTCTCCTTCCCGTTCTCCTCCGCAACGTCTTCCTGTGCAGTCTCCTGTAGTTTCAGGCACCCTTCCTTCCGCCCCTCATCCGATCTATGTTTTTCTGCTAGTTTATTTTTTTCACTTTCTTCTAAAATCTGTCTTTTTTGCAGAGACACTCTGGCCGGCGGCTTTTCTCGTTCGCCATCTTGGGGCTTCTCCCGTTTTGGATTTTCTAAGAATTGACTTGTAGAAGAAATTTACTCTTGGCATGTAATAATATGAATGGCAGTAATTTTCACAGTTTGTCATTTGTCTTTTAAATTTGATTGTTCTTTAAACATTTTTATGTAGTTGAACGTATCAATATTTTCTTTAATGGCTTCTGGATGTTTTAGCATTCTTAGATATGTCTTATGAAATTATTTTTAAACACTCATATATCTATTATGTCAGGATTTCAATTTTTATATTTAAATCTTTGATCTATCTGGAATTGATCTTGGTATAAGGATGAGAATGATTCCCACTCTAGTTTGTTTTTCAGCTGGCTGGCCTGGTTGTCCCCAAACATTTTTAATAAGTGTTTTAACACAATTTGTTTTCCCCATTGATTTGAAGTGCCACTTTTGATTTACTCTAAATTTCCAATAATAAATAAAAGAGCAGGCTCTGAAATAAATGTGTATATATGCACATATGTAGTGATTCAACTGGCTGGAGTTAGGGGAGAGGAAATTTATAAACTTTGTGTTGTTTGGCTTATAAAAATGAGCAATGTAAAAACCACACCAAACAAAACCCAATGAAACAAATCCAAAAACCCACCAAACAGAAAGAGTGTTAATAGTGCCGCGAGGGGAGGACCACATTGATTGAGGGGGAGGGCAACTGCCTCTAGATGGCCCGACCTGGCTTCTTCCCAGGGTTTTGCTTCAGCATGTGTTGCTTTTGTAGTAAGAAAAGAAAACTAATGAATGTTAGAACTGATCCCACACATCTGATAAGTCTCCTTCCATCTTTCTGGAGTGAGACTCCACTCTTCACCCACAGCAGGCTTCAAGTGGAGCCCGTCTGTGGGAGCTCAGAAACTCCTGCCCCCACCCCGGCCTCCGCCTCCAAGAACCTTAGAAGGAGCAGCACAGAGCCCCAGCATCCTACCTCCTGGAGACCTGGCTGGGATTCCATCTCAGGCCAGTGGCATTCCAAAGCCTTGCTCTTTCCCACATGTCCCTGCACCACCCTGACCCCTAAGATCCAGCATAAATCAAAGGTGCCACATCATCTGTACTCGTCAGGGAAGAGAGGTGGTTTGTTGGCTGGAGGAGTTGCTCCTCCTGTGGTGGTACCAGGTGTTATGGACTGAATGTTTGTGTCCCTCCAAAATTTCTATTGAAATCCTCACCCCCAAGGTGATGGTCTTACAAAGTGGGGGGTCTCTGGAAGGTGATCAGGTCATGAGGGTAGAGCCCTCATGAGTGGGATTAGTGCCCTTATAAAAGGTACCAGAGAGCTCTCTCTGTTCTTTCTGCCACTTGAGAACACAGCAAAAAGTCAGACATCTCTGAACCAGGAAGCGGGCCCTCACCAGAACCTGACGAGCCTGATCTCAGGCTTCCAGCCTCCAGAACTGAGAATAAACTTCTGTTGCTTGTAAGCCACCCAGACTGTAGTACTTTGTTGTGGCAGCTGGAACAGACCAAAATACCAGGCCTGGCGGTTTATAACTGTGCAACTTTCATCATCCCCAGGCCTTTCCTTTCAACCACACTTGTCATGAGAGTCACAGTGACATTTATTGCAAGATTTCTAAAGGTAGAGACAACTCTGGTTGGATGGAGGAGAAGTTGGAGAAGATTGGAGGAAATCATCCACCCTCCGAAACATTTCCGTGGGGTTCCTCGTACCCAAAGTCAGACAGTGCCATGGCTCCTGGCGGGCATTCTCCTAGGTTGGGTTCACAACCTTGCCCAGGAAAAGGCTGCTCCACGTGAAGTGGTCGAAGATCAAGATGAGGAAGGGCTTGTTGAAACTGATGGTGAGAGGCTCAGAGGTCAGGTTCAGGGTGACCCCAGTGGAGGCAGCTGCCTGCACACCCTTCTCATCGAGTTGCAGCACAGCCTTATGGACCACCTGTCGGTATGGACCAGAGACAGGTGGTGAGCACCTGCTGCGTGTTAGCGCTCTCCAGGCCTCATTGCCTGCACTCCTCCCACCCTCAGCTTTGGGTAGGTGAAGCTGAGGCTCTGAGAGGGTCATTTGCAGGCTCCTCATCGGAGCAGCAGCCCCAGGACAACAGCCCAAGTCTGTCCACCTCCAGAATCCAGCCACACCCATGCTTCCTCCCTATACAAAGGGCAGGTTCAGCCCATCATGCAGAGATTAGGGTCTCATGGCTTGAACTGGGCTTCAGTATCCATATTGGGTGCTTCTTACCGGGTCCTGGGCTGGCAGAGGAGACCTTGCTCCCTTTCCACTCTACTAGGTAAATACCAAGGTTCAGTTTCTGCAAAGTACTTATGCCTGCTCTGGGAAAACTGAAGCAGAATCTAAAATGTAAATGACCATTAATACATCCCTTGTCCCTTGTTGTGATCAAAAGTAGAAGAAATTCTGAGATCAGCCATATGTTTGACTAGCTTCTACTGAAAGCCTTCGGCGGATCATAACCTGGCTAGTTAAACAATGGGTGAAGTTCGGTGAGCTCTCAACACCCCAAGGGGTGGGAACTCGCATTGACTCTGCTTTACAGCAAGGACTCTGAGGCTCTGAGCAGCTCTGTAGGTAGGCACCATCACTGAGCTGGGATCGGAACCCTTGCGGTATGTCCTGAAAATATAAGGTTTTGGGTCAACAGACCCGAGATCAAATGTCAGACTTACTTACTAGCTCTGTGACCCTGGGCAAGCTATGTACCCTCCCTGAGCCAGAGATTCCTCCTCTGAGAAGTTGGGGCAATGCCTGCCTTCTGAGGAGGTAGCTGTAGTGACTCAAGCCACTCACCCAGCAAGCATTTTACTGAGCATGTAACTGTGTGCAGGTACTGCGGTAGCCACAAAGCCCCTGTGCTTTGAGGGCAGGGGCCACGTCTGAGTAATGCAGGCATGCTCAGAGCCTCACACGATTTGGGGCACTTAGTAGATGTTCAGTAAAAATTTTCTGAATAAATGAATCACAGAACATAAAGCCAACGAGTAAAGACAGTGACTGTAATTGGGTAGAAGGCTCCATCTGATCCCAGTTAGACATTTGCCACTTTCCCCATTTCTTTTTGCCGGGGCCACCATGAGAACTCCGTTTTCTGCAGGGCCCCTCTGCATGGTCTGGTGGGATAGGCAGATGCCTAGGCTATAGCCCTCCTTTGTTGGGGATCCCACACTTTCTCACTGAGCCTTTATTTACCCCATTGTGGAACAAGGGGCTTGGCCCAGACCTGGGGTTCTCAGCCTGGGACCTAGAGGACCGTTCATGAATGAGCTCAGTGTTGCTTATTATTATTTTGATTTGAATTTTGGAGGGAAATAAAGGTGGACTCCCAAGACACTTACCTTAGATACCTTCAGCTGGGCCTCCTGAGTGATGCCGGAGAAATTTGCCTGGTTGGTGAACACGTCCGCAATGCCCATGTCTGCCAGCACGCCCTGCAGGTCGTAGGCTCCGGAGATGGACACCTTCGGGACGTACAGGTCCACCTGGCTGCTCGGGGTAAGCAGACGGGGTTAGACATTGCAGGGCAGGACCTCCTCTCCCCGCCAGACTGCTGTTTCCTCATGAGATCCCTCCAGCACCTGCCTCCCAGCCTGAGCTGCTCCTTGGGGACAGGAGAAGGGGCAGGCCTCTGCCCCCACCACACAGGCAGCTTCCTCTTTGGGCCCCTGAATTGTTCATTCTTTTTTTCTGAGCAATTCCTTTGAGCCAGTTCCACCTGTGATATAGCTGGACCACTAAGCACTTAAGACAATGGTCCCTAAAGAAGTCCTCTGGGTCCCCAGAGCATGCCCTGCTTGCAGCAGAGGAGGGAGGGAGCACCCGGCTGGGAGCAGTCATGTGGCCTTCGCCAAGTCCAGCCCCCCTCTGTGCTCATGTCCTCATCCATGCAAGAAGGTGGTCGAACCCAGGTTCTCCCAGCCCTTGGGCACTAAAGCTCTGGTTCTGCAACAACTCGCGATCATTCAGGCAGCAGTTTCCACTGGGTGAGGCAGGCGGGCTTTCTAGACAGGTAAGTGGTATCATGGTGGGGGTGGCATGGGCATCCACGCTTCTTGACATATCAAGGCTTTAGTTTTATTTGTAAATTTCTTCCTTTGCTCCCTAGAGGGAGAGAAGTTGTCTGAACCTGAAGCTGAGGGGCATCAGTGAAGGTGCACGGCTCTGGCAGGTGGGAGGGAAGGCACGAGACCCTCTTCACTGAGCAAAGGCAGCCTTGGGCGAGGCCTGGAGACCTCAGGCACCCGGCCAGTGTGAATTCTAAGCTGTACCTTTCAAACGCGTTCAGGAGGGACCTGGGGCGAGTGGGTGTGTGTCTCCTTCTCCAGATGGGGAAGTAGTGACAGACAGACACGGGAGAGTGGCGCCTCCCAAACGCCGGCCTGTGTTCTTTACCTTCTCTGCCCCTTCTCGTTGGCACACGCACAACCCCAGAAAGTTGGAATCAACGTCTTCAATTTCCAGATCGAGAGACTGGAACTTAGGCTGAGGCACCCCCCAAAGTCACACAACTGGGGAGGAGCAGAACTGAAGACACCAGGACTAGTGGGCCACCTGCCACCTGCCGCACCGTGTCGGCAGCTCCCTGAGGGGGTGGCGATGGGGCTTCGAGGCACAGGTTGTTGTTGATGTTGTTGACGTTGCAGTATTTTCCTGAAGAGATTATTTTTGATGTGAAGAGAAAGGTTATCCTTCACCTCATTTTCAGTGGAATAGGGTCTGGAATTTATAGTTTGCATCTTGGGCGTTCTCACCAGCTGGTGGTGTTACACCTAAGTTACAGCTTCCCTTCGGGGGCAGGGGCGGGGTGGGGATGGGAAGAGCTGAAACCCCAAAGAGCTGCATCAACTGAACACAGGTTCACACCCGTGCATACGCACGTGTGCATGTGCGCGCACGCTCTCAAGGGTGGGTATGGATGGTTCCAGAACCGTGTCCCCCACATGGTTATAGGGGATCTCTCTGAAGCACAGGGCTGACTGCACCGCTCTTCCCTGCGGGAGGGAAGTCAAACTCCCGGGCACTCCCGCAGGTACCCACAGAACTTGAAGAACCTCTCTAGAAGCATCCAGCCATGAACAGCTCTCTGACGGTGCAATTTAAAATAAAAACAACCTGAAACCATAAACCACAAAACATGCATATATAATAAAGTAGAGGAGATTCTTCCTGGATCTTCTGCTGCAAAGTTCTTGGACCACGAAGCTCACCCAGGCCAATTTGTCTCCTTCGTTGCTGCTGGCCCTGCTTTGCTGGTGCTCTGGGCACAGATCCCCTGACTCGGTTGGGGCCATTTCCTCTTCATGGCTGCTCTGGGGCCACGTCCCACTGGCTGAACGTCCCCTCAGGCTCCAGGCAATTCGAGGGAAAAGCAATCTGATGTGCAGCCCCTCCCCACTGCCCGGGTGGAGTTGGGGGCTGCCCCCAGACGAGGCATTTCACATCTCTCTCTTTTTCTCTCTCTGTCTCTGCCTCTCTCTCAGACAGAACTTACATCACGGTACTACTACAAATTCCACCAGAATCTATTTTCTGCTCTACGGTGCATTTTCTTTGAGATCTCTATTTTGTCTATTCTCCACTCCATCCGCGTGCTTAGCCTAATGCGAGCTGCATAGCAGGTGCTTCTGTGTGTGTATCAAATGAATGAACGAATAAATGAATAAATGAAAGGCTGCCTGCCCCTCCAGCCTCCCTGAGCTATTCCAGATCCAAGTGCCCACTCCCTCCCCTGCATCCCCTCTGCCCTTTGAGTCTGCACCAGCCCACCTGCCCCCAGGTTCTATGTTGGCTGGCATTTGCTGATTCTTGTACACAGACAGAACTTGACTCTCCGAGAGGGGGACCATGTTCTCAAGAACACCTCCTTCCTCCTCCAAGGCGAGGAGCAGGGCTGGGCACATGCATGACAATAATTTCAGTTGCTCTTTAGCTTAGAGCTGCCTGGGGGAAAATAAGTTTTCTTATTCATTCATTCATTCATTCATTGCTAACTCACAGCCTCAGCTGATCTTCCCTGAGAGCTGACTCTGCATCAGCCCCTTGCTTGGGCCGAGGTGACAGACAGCTCTCCTCCTGGCCACCAGCTCATCAGCATATACACCCCTCTCTTTTTTCTTACTCAGTCATTACCTATGTGTATCCTCACTTTATTATTTGCTGATTGATAGAAGACGAGTCAGATCCCCTGGGTGAGTAAGGAACCATTCATAGGCCTTGCATTGGTTCCATGATGGATACAGAGGTCATTTTCATGGTATTTTAATGGGGTCTCCCAGGAATCTTTAGCGGGGCGTGGTTTCAGGTAAGCAAGATAACAAAATTGTTAAGTGGGGAGCTCTGTGGTTGGTGATTTCACTTAAAAAAATGATGCAAAATTATGATAATACAGAGGGTGGCTCTGAACCTCACAGGGAGAGGGGTCCTCAGTTTGCAGAATGCCCCAAAGTATCTCAGCGTTGATTGACAGATTGATAAATGTGACCTCCAGGTCAGAGAACCTCTAGGTCAGAGAACAGCCTTTGGGGACCCACGAGACAGGAAAACAGTGAGCCCTGAGGGTGAGTCTGGGGAAGGAAGGATGCCTAGGTGTACCCTCTTTCCACTTGCCCACGTGCTGGGAACAGGTGCATTGCAGAAACCAACGCGATGGCCAGAGGGCTTACCCAGTGGTCAGGGACGTGGACCACCTCTGAATCGTGTCCCGGCTCAGTGCGGCAATGACTGTGTCCATCTTCCCCTCCTCGGGAAGGATGAAGAAGACGGTCCCATTGCCCACGTAGTCCAGCTGTACCAGCTGGCAGGGGAGCTCTGAGTCGCGCAGGTAGTTGATGGCGCTAGACTGGAACATCATGGGCATCTTCACCACGGTCGTCTCATTCACGTAGAAGTTCTCCTCCCGGGTGCTTTCCCGGTCGAAGGGCTGTGCCCACGTGCCTGGGAAGGGCAGGAGAGAGAAGGTAGGAGACAGGCCTGTAGGGCAGAGAGGGAAACAGAACTCGGGTGGCCTCAGGGACAGCCCAAGAGTGTGACACAGCAGCCTCCTGCATGCCTGGAATGTCCCCGCTGAAGCCTTGGGAGTTTTCTGGTAAGATGTGAAAATTCCCAGGGGTTTCAAGCCTGTTCGATCCTCTACCTCTCAGAATGGGTGGGGGATTAGCTCTGCTTCCGATATTGGCTCCTAAACAAGGAGAGGGGTGAGACCAAGAGAGGGGTGGTCCTTGGATCTGGGGTAGGACTCACCTGAGCCAGACCTTGCCTCGGCGCCCCAGCCTGGAGCGGGTCCGGCTCTGAGGCTCTGGAAGTGGTGCTGGGCCTCAAGCCTTGAACTCAAGGTTCCTGGGGGCAGGGATGGGTGACTTGGGGGAATGGGCCATCCGTTCCATCTCTACCCGACAGCTTGGCTGGCCTAGTCGGTGGTACCCAGGCCCCTGCAGGAGGCTCCTGCCCTCACTGCGTGGTCCTTCCTTCTGAGCCACATTTCCCGAATGCAGAGTCAGAGTTAGGAGACTCCTTTGGGGTCACAGACTCCCACCCAGTTGGACCTCAGATCCCTCTCCCAGCCCCACAATGCTGGCATCCAGCCTGTTGCTTTGCCTGGGGATGGGGACCTCACCACTTGCACAGTGGGATCTGGAAATACTGGGAAGCCCTGAGGGGAGGAAAGTTGCTCCTTAGCCCGCCCGATTGCCTGGCACCTGCAGGGCCTCTTCTGTCCTGAGCTTATTCCAAACAGTCCTGAGTCTTCCCACAGGATAGTCACATGGGCTTAGTCTCACAGGGCGTCCTCCGCTCTAGGTGACGGCTCCCCAGCCTTGACCAGATGACTGAGTTCCCTGCGTCCAACAGGCCTCAGGTGCCCTGGCTGCCCCTGACTGCAGGCCCTGAAGCCCTTGTGAGGTCACCATTTCCCAGCTGGTGCTGCTTAAAGGTGGCCCGAACACAGCTCCAGGTAGACCCTTCTCCATCCCACCACCTGCGGGATCTAGGAATGGCAGGGCCCAAATTCTTGGTGCTGAGCCAGCCTCAACCGCCCTGTAAAGGCTACTGATGGAGACGACAGGGAGGGGCTGGAGGATGGAGAGAAATGAGCCAGGGCCACAGAGCCGGGAGCCCCAGGAGCTGTGCCTGGTCCCTCCTGAACGACCTCTCGAACGTCGGCATCTGCAGACACTGAGTGTGAACTCATCATCGTCTGTCTCACACAAGTGGGATAATTTGAGGGTTCTCAATGCATCCTCCAAAGGACATCTGAAGTCCTCAGAACTGGACGGGGTGGTGTTTTTTGGCTAAATTGTCCTACTTAGAGCAAAAAAAAAAAGTGTATAAAATATTTTTAATTGTCATGTTTTTCATCCTTAAAATTTTGCTACTTGCTTTTTACTGAGTATTTCTTTTCTGGAAGCAAGAATAACATCTAGTTTGGCATAAAACAAAATACAGAATGGGGTTCAACCTCTACTTTAAGGGATTTCCTGAAAATTCTTAGGAGAACTGTTGGTGGAGAAACTTAAGAATTTATGGGAGAATATCTGAGAAAGCAAAGATGATTCCCCTGGAAAATCTTTCGACAATATTTTTAATGTTCTCTAAAAAGAGCTGTCAGGAGAATCTAGTGCATAAAGAATGTACCAGGGACATTTTACGTGTCCTAAATTTAGTGATTATAGTGATAGAACTCTTCATTTCTGTTTATCACCCTGGCTTGCTGGAAACATTTCAGAGTATTCCCCAGCTTTACCAAGGGCTTGCCAATTAGTTTTGCTGTATCATAGAAAGTCTATGCATTTCACCCCATCAGTGCCTGGTAAGCTGCCCACACATGCTCAGGCCTCACCCAGGCCCGGTAGGCCCTCCCTGTACCTAGGTTTACTGTGCCCTTTGCCAAAGTAGCGTTACCAGAACCTTCATGCAGCCACTGTCCTTCCATGTGCCAGCCACTGAGCAAAGGTACGGGGCCCCCAAAGAGACAAGGAAGGCCCGCACAGGCCTGCTCGGTCTCGTGGGAGAGACGGCCTATGGGATTGGTGGGAGCCCCCAGAACCGTTTCTGGGCAAATGTCCCCAGCCTCCCTGACCTTCCCACTGTCAGGTGTAAAGAAAGCTGCCTCTGCCCGGCCAGACTTTCAGCTTTGCCTCCCTTAGAGCAGGGCAGCCTCTGCGGGAGCTTCCCGGACTTGGGATGGAGAAATGGCAAGACCCAGAGGCAGGCGCCCGGGGTCGGGGGGCTACTCTCAGAGATGCTCAGTCGGCCCAGGCAATAAGGAGGTGTGGGAGCGGGCGGGAGAAGGGAGCATGGGGAGTCTTTGCTGGGGATTATGACCCGGATGATCCTGTGATGCTGTCGAGGGACACGTGTTGGCTTGGGATTTGTGGCAGGCAGAATAATGGGCCCCAAAGATGTCTGTGTCCTAATGCCCGGAAACCGTGGATATGTTAGCTCGCATGTCAAAAGGGAGTTACGTTGCAAATGGAATTACAGTTACTTATCAGCCGGCCTTGAGATGAGGAGATTAACCAGGTGGCCCTATGGGTAGAAGAGGAAAGCAGGGCAGTCGAGTCAGGGGAGGAGATGCGGTGATGGAAGCAGAGGTTGGAGTGGCTGCGATTGCTGGCGTTGAGGATGGAAGGGGCTGGGAGCCAGGCGGCTTCCAGAAGCTGGGAAAATCCTGGAAACGCATTCTCTCCTAGAGCCTCCAGCAGCAACCAGCCTGAGCAAAACCTTCATTTTAGCCCAGCATGACCCACTTCGGAATTTTGACCTCCCGAATTGCAAGACAATGAATTTGTATTGTTGTAAGTCTCCAAATCTGTGGTAACTTATTACAGCAGCAATGGGAGGCTAGCACGGGCTTCCAGGGAGACAGGCATGCTCTAGGCCATGAAAGGACTTTGGCGCGGTTGGACGGTGTGTGGGTGTCTGCCTGTCTGCTGCATGTTGACAGCTTGGAGGAGGGAAAACGTTGAGGCAAGAGGCAGAGAGGACAGAAAAAGTAGACGACTGTAGGCCAAGGTTTGTCGGCCTTGGCACTATGGACGCTGGGGAGCAGATATCCCTGGCGGGAGGCTGTCCAGGGCATTATGAGTAAGACGCTCAGTCAGTCTCCCCGGCCTCCACCCATCCCAGTTGTGACAACCCAAAATGTCTCCAGATGTTGTCAAACGGCCCCAGGAGAGTAGGGGGATAGCCTTAGTTGAGAACCACTGCTCTGGACTAGGGGGTTTAGATTTTATTCTCAGCAATAATGTGTCTCCAAATTGCCTGATCATAAAAAAATAATCTGGCGTGGGAAGGAATACTTGTTAAAAATACAAATTCTAGGGCTTTCCCACAGAGGTTTTGCTTTGGTAGGTCTGGCACTGGCTCTGGGATCTGTAGTTTTAGCAAATCTCCCTGAAGATTTTTTTAGCAATAGGCATTTTGGGAAACTGAGGCAGGACCTAGTCAGAGCTGGCCATGAGTGCCTGGGCAGTATGTGCAAGAGGCTTTGGGAAACTCTGGGAGTTCCTGAGGGGTGGGGGCTATGTCAGTTCTAGATTGTATTTCCAGCCCCTGGCCCAGTGCTTGATAGTCAATATTTGTAGAGACTGACACAGCCAGGCTGTTCATGGTTACGTGCATGGGCCTTGAACCGACCTGCCAGAACTTGGGTGAGTCACTTAACTCTTCTGGGTGTTATTTTGATGTTTCGTAAAATGCTATGATTCCACCTTCCCAACAGGATTGTGAAGATGGAGAATCCCAGATGTGCATGTGCTTTGTAAAATCAAAGGCTTTGCCCGAGAGTGTGCCCTGGATTTTGATCACTGTTACTATTCTTGGCAATAGTGGATGGGCCTTGTCAGAGTGGGACGGGTCGGGGTACCTTTGTAGAAGATGTAGTTGATCAGGATGAGGATGGCTGGGCTATCCAGCTCTGAGAATAAGTTGACAATTTTTCCCTGTGTCTTATTCTTGACATACTCATTAATTTGTCTGCTGGCTGTAGCCCAGTCCTGGAAATCTGTAGTCAAAGCCTCCGAGTCATAGTATCGCTTGATGTCGGCTGAGAACGTCTCCAGCAACTCCAGGCTGCGGTCATGGAACAAGGCATTGCCCATGGTCATTTCCAAGCTGGTGGCTGACTCCCTAAGGAGGTGGTGGAGGTGCCGGAAGCTCTGGTGGATCTTGGTCTCAGATGTTTCCGTGAGGTTGAAGCCCAGACCCTGGAGAAGTTGGGTCCGCGTGTGGCCACGGGTGCCCAGGGACAGCATAGATAAGGACATGGAGATGCTCACAGGGGAGATGAAGATGTTCTTGCCAGGAGCCAAGGCCATGAGGTGCTTATACAGGCTGAAGGCAAAGTCAACATTGGCTGGAGCCAGGCCCCGGTGTTGGCTCCTCATGCTCACGTTAGCATTGGTGTCCTCAGCCTGGATGGTCGAGAGGCCACTGGTGGACAGCCAGAGGAAACAGGCATACAGGGCAAGTGGCATTGTCCAGTGTGGCCAGGCCCTGCCAAATCAGAAATCTTGTTAGATGACGTGGTAGCCTCCGAGTCAGTGGGGCACAGTGCAACAGGAGGCAGGCAAAAGACCCCATGTAAGCTCCAGTTCCTTCCTCCACACTGGCTGCGTGACCTGGGGCAAGTCACAGGGGACTCTGGGCTCCAGCCTCCTCATTTGAAGATATGAATTATACCTGCTATGATTTATCAAGTGTCTACCAGGCACCCAACACTGATCTAGGTATTTTTGCCTATGTTATCTCATCTTACTTTTAACAAAACACTCATAAATATTACTAACCTGATTTTAGGCAGGCAGAAGCAAATGTTCAGAAAGGTTAAATGTCCACCCAACAGATATGTTCAAAGTGCTGAAAGAAACAAAATACAGTAAGCTGTCAATGAAGAATCCCATAGCCAGCAAAACTATTCTCAAAAAATGAGAAAGAAATTAAGACATTCCCCGGAAAACAAAAGCTGAGCAAGCTTTTTACCACAATACCTGCCCTGCAAGAAAGGAAAGGCATTTCACTCAGATTGAAATGAAAGGACACTGGACAGTAATTCGAAGCTGTATGAAGAAATAAGGACCTCTGGTAAAAGCAAATGCGTGGGTAGTCATCAGTTATGTTTTTGGGCACCCAATGCATAAAGATATAATTTGTGACATCAGTAACCAAAAGGGGTGGGGACAGAGCTGTAAAGAAGCAGAGCTTTTGTAGGCTATTGAAATTAAGCTGGTTGTGTCATACTATATATTACAGATTAAATATAGAGATATATTTCATTTTTCCCTATTGTTTTTCTCCTCTTGATTTTATTTATCTCTGCTCTAATCTTTATTATTTCCTTCCTTCTGCTAGTTTTCAGTTTAGTTTGTCCTTTTTCTAGTCCCTAAATTATAAACCTAGACTCATAATTGTTTTTATACATTAGCCTTTTAAAGTATGATCCAACTATATGCTGTCTACAAGAGACTCACTTTAGATCCAAAGACACAAATAGATTGAAAGTGAAAAGGATGGCAAAGATATTCCATGCAGATAGTAACCAAAGAGAGCAGGGGTAGCTACACTAATATTAGACAAAATAGATTTTAAATAAAAAATGTTACAAAAGACAAAGAAGGATATTTTATATTAATAAAGTGTTCAATACAGCAAGAAGATATAATGTGTTTCATCCCTCATTCCCTATAGTACTGTCTTCTCTTGCATTTGATTTTTTTTATACTGAAACACTTTAATTCCCTTCTTATCTCTTTTGTGTATACTTCTTTAGCTATCTTCTTTATGGTCACCATGGGGATTATAGTTACCATCCTTAAGTTATTTAATATAATACTCTAATTTGAATTTATGCTATTATTGATTTGAGGCCTTCCTGTTATACCAGTGTTTATAGCTATAAATTTCCCTTTTTGCACTACTTTCACTGAAAATGTTGTGTTTTCATAAATGCACATATAAGAATAACATTTATTGGATGTTGGGCAGGGGGGAGGGGGGAGGGGGAAGGAGGGAAGAGGGGACAGGTATTTGTATGCACGGGGAGTGCAGTGCGCACCACCCGAAGGATGGACATGTTTGGGACTCGGACTTGCAGGGGGGGACCAGGGGCAACATGCGTAGCCTGAACATCTGTACCCCCATAATATGTTGAAAAAAAAAAAAAAAAAAAAGAAAATGTTGTGTTTTCATTTTCATTGGTCTTGAATTATTTTCTAATTTCCCTTGCGATATCTTTTTTGATCTGTCGGTTGTCTAAGAGTGTGTTGCTTAATTTTCATAATTTGTGGATTTTCTAGTTTTCCTTGTGTTATTGATTTCTAACTCCATTTTACTGTGATTAGAGCAGATACTTTGTATCATATCTGCCTTTTTAAATCTACTGAGACCTGATCTGTGGCCTAACATATGGCCTATGCCAGTGGATGTCCCATGTGCTCTTCAGAAGAATTTGTGTTCTGTTGTTGTTGTAGAGTGTTCCATATATGCCTGTTAGATCTAGTTGTTTTGCTGTGTTGTTCAAGTCCTCTAGTCCCTTGCTTATCTTATATTGGTTTGTTCTATTCATTATTGAGAGTGAAGCATTGAAGTCTCAAAATTATTTCCCCTTCAATTCTATCAATTTTTGCTTCATTTATTTCGTACCAGACACACCCAGAAATAATTTTTTACCAGCTGCTATGGTCTGAATGTTTGTGTCCCCCCAAAATTCATATGTTGAAACCTTATCCCTAACAGGGTGGTATTAAGAGGTGGGGTCTTTGAGAGGTGATTAGGTTATGAGGGCTCCACCCTCATAATGGGATTAGTGCCTTTATAAAAGAGGCATGTGAGAATATTTCTGGAAAAGATCAGCATAGGAATCAGTAGATTGAGTTAAGAAGATCCACCCTCACCAATGTGGGAAGGCAACATTTAATCTGCTGAAGGCTAGGTAGAACAAAAAGGTGGAGGAAAGGCAAATGCTCTCTCCATCTTTGAGCTGGACATCCGTGTACTCCTGCTCCTGGACATTGGAGCTCCTGGTTTTGGGCCTCTGGACTCTCGGACTTACACCAGCACCCCTCAACCCTTGTTTGCAGGCCTTTGGCCTAGAACTGGGAGTTATACTATCAGCTCCCCTGGCTGTCAGGCCCCCGGACTCAGACTGAATTATATCACCAGGTTTTCTAGGGCTCCAGCTTGCAGACAGCAGATTATGGGACTTCTCAGCCTCTATAATTACAAGAGCCAATTCTCATAAGTCTCCTCTTGTATATCTCTCTATATATCTTATTGATTTTATTTCTCTGGAGAACCCTAACTGATATGATGGATTAAATTAATTTTGAGGACCTGTTATTAGGATTATATATTATGCCCAAGTTAGATTTATTTCTGGAATGCAAGCCTGGTCCAACATACAAAAATTGATCAATGTAATATACCATATTAACAGAAGGAAGGCAAAACCCACATGATCATCCCAATGGATACAGAAAAAAGCATTTGACATAATTCAACACACTCTTTCATAAAACACGTAACAAACTAGGAATAGGGGGAAACTACCTCAACATAATAAAGACCATATGTAAAAACCTATTAAGCATATTTTATACTTATAAATATATTTTACACCCATATTATACTCAATAGTGAGAGACTAAAAGCTTTTCCTCTGAGATCAGGAACAACACAAGGATGTATACTTTCACTACTTTTATTTAACATAGTACTACAAATTCTAGCCAGAGCAATTGGGCAAGAAAAAGAAAAAGCATCCAAATTGAAAAGGAGGAAGTAAAATTATCTCTTTTTACAGATGATCTTATATGTACAAAGCCCTAAAAATTACACAGAAAACTGTTAGAATAAACACATTCAGCAAAGTTGCAGAATACAAAATCAACACACAAAAATCAGTTGCATTTCCCAACACTAACAAAACACAATCTGAAGCCAGGCATGGTGGCTCACGCCTGTAATCCTAGCACTTTGGAGGCTGAAGAGGATCACTTGAACTTAGGAGTTTGAGACCAGCCTGAGCAAGAATGAGACTCCATGTCTACTAAAAATAGAAAAATCAGCCAGGAGTCATTGCCCGCACCTATAGTCCCAGCTACTCAGGAGGCTGAGGCAGGATTGCTTGAACCCAGGAGACTGACTTTGCAGTGAGCTATGATGATGCCACTGCACGCTAGCCCTGGCAACCGAGTGAGACCCTGTCTCTAAATGAATGAATGAATGAAATTCTGACGTATGCTACAACATGGATAAACCTTGAAGATGTTACGTTAAGTGAAATAAGCCCTACACAAAAGGACAAATACTACATAATTTCATATGTAGTGTCATCAAACATATAGGGACAGAAAGTAGAATTGTGGTTACCAGGGGCTAGGAGGAGGGGAGATTGGGGAATTCGTGTTTAATGGGTATAGGTCTTCGGTATGGGATAATGAAAAACTTCTGGAGATGGATGGTGGTGATGGTTGTACAACAATGTGAATGCGCTTAATGCCACTGAACTATACACTTAAAGATGCTTGCAACGTTAAATATTATATTTTACCACAATAAAAATTAAGAAAGAAATTAAATATAAGCCATTTAAAAAAATGGTAAGAGCAACTGAAAAAAAAAAGTCCACACAAGTTCCAAATTAGTTAATGGACATTGTCTAGAAGGCCAGTGGTCCCAAGCCATGCACTTTATAGAGGCACCTGTATCACAATAAACAAGGGATGTTTATAAGAGAAGCAGGTCTCACTGGATTACCCCACCTGTGCAACCAGCAGCTCTGGGGAGGGAGCCAGGAACCTACATTTAAACCTGTACCCCAAGAGCCTGTGATGAGTTAAATTAAATTAAATTAAATTTGGCCTAAAGCTGCCTCTCTATGTATTTTAACTTAATGTGGAAATAAACTGCAACCTAACTCGAGAGTATATTTTTATAACAAGTAGTGGAGTCTTGGCCAACCATAGCAGCTGAACTTTCAGCCAGTCACAGGCTGCAAACTGCCCAAACATGTCCAAGTAAGGCAAACACCCAGCAGTAAACAATCAGGCTACTTGTGTATGTCCCTCCCTTTTTCTGCCTATAAATACTGTCTGCTGACACTGCTAGGTGGAGCTCTCTGAACGTGTACTGGTCTAGGTGCTGCCTGGTTCATGAATTGTTTCTTTGCTCACATAAACTCTGCTAAACTTAATTTGTCCAGGGTTTTTTTTCAACGGGTGCACAATGAGTGTGTGGGAGCCTCCGTTCTGCTCTGGAACACCCAGGGGCCCCTTCCCTGGGATGTTCTAAAGCCAGAACCTCAAGAGAGACAGGTAGGAACCACTCCCACGGACCCCCTACCCCACCTGAGTCCTCTTCCAACACTCCCTGTGTCCCTCCTTATCTCACCAGGGCGGAAAACAACCCCTGCTGGCTGCTCTGACTTCTCTATGTCTCTACTTTGATAACAGAGGCAGGTGGGACCCACTCCCCACCCCCCTCTCCAGCTGCTGGGGTTTATTGGCTTCTCCCCCAGATCCGATTTCGGACTTGGATTTTTGATGAGTCATTGGGACAATTGTTTCCTGGGTTTTGTGGCAGATGGAGCTGGACTGGGATCCCAGTGCTGCTATTTATGAACTAGGTGATGTGGGGCAGGCTATTTAAACTCTGCCTCAGTTTCCTCGGTATAAAATAGAGCTGATACTAATACCCACTTCTGGCCTCACCCGTTCCCCGCAGTTTGTCTCCTCTCTAGTCCCAGTGCACAGCCCAAGTGTCAGGGGCTCATCATGTCTCCCAGGACTTAGTAGTCACCCCTCCCTGGTCTCCCTGCCTCCTGCTCAGCTCCCTCCGCCTCTCCATCCCTGTGCAGCCAGCTGCATCATTCTTAATTCTTTAAAATTCAAGCTGCTTAGCTGTTCTGTTGAGAATCTTTGGGCTCCCCATTGCCCACAGATGAGGCTGACTCTCATTAACGTGGCCCAGGGGGTTCTCATGACCCAGTCCCTGGTGACAGCCCTACCCCCAGCTTTAAACCTAGCCATATGAGGTCAGCCGTAGCAACGCTGAGTGTGAGAGTTGCTCCCAGCACACACACCCAGGGCAGGGTGGGGCAGGCCAGGTCAGGTCATTGCAGCTCCCCCATGTGTGCTGAGCCCTGCTCCCTACTGGGAGTAGGGGACAAAGGTGGACTGTGGACCTGCCCTGGCCTTGGCCCAGGTGGTTCTACTCTGTAGGCTCTTCCTCCCCCTGCCTTGTCTGGCTCACTCTCTCTTAGTGATGCAGGTCCCAGGTCACCACCTCCAGGAAGCTCTGCCTCTGTGCTTCCCTCTGTCCCTGCCCCATCGCAGATAGTGAAATCTTTAGCTCTGGTCACTGCCACACCTATCTGTGGCCTCCTTTTGGCGTGGACCCTGTATAGCACGAAGCCAAGAGCAATGTGGGCTTCCCATCCCTTCTTGCCTCTCTGGGGCGATTGTGTGCCTCATCCCCTCCTGTGTTAATACTGCATGATGAGGATTACGACTCTACCCACCTCCCAAGGTTGTTGTCAATATCAGTCACAGCTGCTATCAATGCTTGGCTTGTGTGACCTCACTTAATGGGTCATCCTGGGGCCCATTTTACAGATGAGAAAACTGAGGGTCTGGGAGGTAGAGTTACCCATTCAGAGGTGGGATTCCAAGCCCAGCAGTCTGACTTCAGAGCCTGTCCATACCATTCTGCCTGTCTCTGCAGAAAGCAAAATGATGAGTAAGTAAACGGCTCTCAAAAGTACCCAGCCATATAAAAATTCAGAGTATCAATATTACTCGTGCATTTCAGTTATGTCCTCCTTGTCTATCATCTCTGAAAGTGACTCAGTGGTAAATACCCACTACGTTCCCTGTTTTCACAAATGCCCCTACGGGGGAGGCATGGTTCTAGGCCTTCCATATTTAGATCTTACGGGGCACAATGCAGGTAGTTCTGTCCTGTCTGCATCATCCCTGTCTCAGGTCACTGAGCGAGGAGCTATGTGAAGAGAGGTCTGTGTCACTTTGCAGAGACACAGGTCCCAGGTGGGCCCCTGCCCCAGGCCAGCATCCTCTGTCAAGGGTGCTGACTGGCACAGACCCATCCTTGCTCTCAGACTTTCTCTGTGTGGTGTTGTGGCCACACAGTGAGGTTTAGGAGCACCAGTCATGGCGATGGGTGGGAATGACTCCTAGCAACAGCCCTCAGTGTCAGCCCGCTGCTGAGCAGGAGCCCAGGGAACAACGGAACCCCTGGGCATGACTCCTAGACTCTGGGCTCTGGGAAATTCTCCACAGGGTTACCTAATATCACTACTGGCTGCCCTAATGTTCAATGTCCCATTAAAAAACAAAACAAAACAAACAATCAAGCAAGCTGCAGTCATCACTTTGTTCTGGATGCCAGGCAGGAGGAGGGACAGAGGGTTCTGAGGTGTTACTCACAGTCTGCAGTGGGCTCGGGCTGCTCCCGCTGGCTCGGTCCTGCTGCCCTGGACCCTGCAGGGGTACAGTAAGCCCCAGAGGATGCTGCCTGCTAAATCTCGTTTGCCAGCTTGCCTGCTGGTTAATGGTTAGAGGGTGCCAGTGGCCTTTACCTTTCGGCGGTCCCCTCCCCCCAGCCATTAACCAATGGGAGGCTTTCTGAAGAAATTTGAGTAAACACAGCAATGCTGTAAATTAACTTTGGGTTCAATTCCCTGAAGTTTTTCTTGATATCAAAATGTATCTGGAGCTGCGTCAGCATGGTTGCCCTGTGGCAGCTGGCAGAGACGTCATAGGTGTTTGTAATTGGCACCGAGGTGCAGACACCTGTGTAAGACCAGGTGCTTAGCTCTGGCTGGGGATGAATCGGTCAAGGTCCTGCCTTCCAGAGGGCCTCAGTCTGGTGGGAGAACCAGACGTGAAATAGTATCAGCCAAGTGCTTCCCATGGATGCTCACTTAATCTTCACGCTGACTCTGTGAAGCGGGTACTGTTATTATCACTCTTCTTCAGACGGGAAACCGAGGCACATGGACATTAAGTGAGCTGCCCTTGAGATTCAAATCCAAGATCATCCAACTCCACAGTCGAGCACCTTCCCTTTCCCCGATGTTTTTATTCATCAATTTTCTTTTGATTGCAGCTGACAGACATCAAATTTGAATTGCTCTAAAGCAAAAAGGAGTATTTATTGAGTCTCAAGAATGAGAGTTCCAAGGGTGGAAAGGGCTTTAGGCATGGCTGAATTTAGGGGTCCCAACCTGGTCATCTCTCTCTCTCTCTCTTTTTCCCCATCCTTTCTTAGCTCTGCTTTCTTCTGCTTTCTTAATTTATTCTGTCTGCAGTGGGGAAAAAGTGGCCACTGCAGCTCCAGGTTATTTGGCTACTTGCTATCAGAAGGAAGGGTCACTGTGAATGCCCAGCTAGAGTCCTGTGCTCTCTGCTGGGGTGACAGCACCTTTACTTCCATTTGGGGATGAGCGAGGCTGTTTCCATGGGAAAAGAGAAAGTAGGACCCACAACTGGGTCTACAGCTTGGAGGCATTTCGGTTTTGTTAATCCTTTTTGGTCTTTCCAAGTTTTATATTC